CCCCCCCCCCCCCCCCCCCCCCCCACCCCTCCAATCTCTCCGAGTTATTATTACCTCTTTAAATGATCGCTATTATGATTTAGTTTATGCGGCAGTTAGTTGGAGATAACTACCCACCTAAAATCACAGCATCTGCATCACGCATTTCTAAAGGGATGACCAGTGCGCAATTTATCCATTTTTCATTGATTATGCACCCAGTGTATGAGTCCACTGCTTAGAGCAAACGAAATTACTCAGATATTTTTTGTATCCCACCTCCACCAATTAAATTTCATAGAAGCGCACATTTCATTTATTGAGTAAGCAAATAACACTGCTTTCATGTCTCTTTTTGGAATTTGCTTTATGATTAATCAAGTCTACAGTAATGATTACTGTAACTTCCTCAATAGACAAGGCAATTTACGTTTCATCTTTCAAATATTCGTCGCAAATTGAAAGAAAATATTTATTAATTTCGTTTTTTTAGATGGAAAGGAAGTCTTTACAAGTTGGTCTGGATTGATCTTTTTCTTTATCTTGCGGTTTACTATATAATAAGCTTAATATACCGATTCGCTCTTCCTGAAACGCAGAAAAGGTTTGTGTTTAATCAGCAATGTTTTGCACTTTTTAAGTCATCACAATTTTAAAAGTGATCAGGTTAGATCTATTACGCCTCTTATTTTGTGTAGGAATTTTGAAGATGTTGTCCGTTTTTGCGAGGCAATGAAAGGGAACATCCCCGTCTCCTTTCTACTGGGTTTCTTCGTGTCTGGAGTTATTGGTCGTTGGTATAATATGTATATGTACATTCCCTGGATGAACCATATTGCTTACTCAACTATGGTAAGGCACTATTTCTGTTTTAACAGTGCAAGATTCCATGACCCGCCTTTATTTCAGTTAGAGTTAGAAAGTAGTGGTCTCCACTCTTAAAATTTAAATCATCCAAGTATTCTGACTTTTTTAGAAATGAGCTACTGAAATGGTATGACTAAATACTCAAATTAGCAAATTAGTCGATATGTTACGCACATAGTAAGTACCCAGGAATTTTGTCTTGAAAACATCTCCATAAAGCCAGATGTACGCAATCCCGAAGATTGAATGGGACATTTTACCGATCAGATATTTTATATCTAGAACAATTATTCGAGGGAGAAAATATCGATGTTTTCATTTTAGACTGAGTAATTGGTGAGTCACTTTTCATCAGACAGTCGTAATTTTGGACATTTGACAGTTGTAGGCATGTTTGGAGCATTGTCAGTTTGAGTTGCTGTCATGTCATGCAGTCGCACTTCAGAAAGCAATTCCTGTATAACAGCTGTGGAAATTAATCCTTCAATTGGAATTATAAAGAAGTTTAATAGCCAGAATTTTCGGTACCCAGTTAAGAGCTTGAGAATGGTCAATTAAAGTGGTCAAATATATAGAGAGACTTGTCTTATACTTAAATATGCCAATTGCGCAAAATCTCATTTATATTTACCTAATGAAATAACTTCTTTAAATTGCATGAAATAACATTAATTTTTACGTATTTCCATCGGTCTAGTCCTATGTAAATTGTGCAGACAAGAGCGTATCGAAGGAAATTAGGCTTTCACTGATGCGTTACATGAATCTCTCTTGGATCCTATTGATGCGTCGAATAAGTGACCAGATCGCTGATCGATTTAAACAATTGGATGAAGACTCCGACTGCGAACAGGAGTATTGTTGCAAAGGGTATTCAAAATGCTGTAACCGGAAGAAGAAAATGCATCATATCATGCAGCATCCTTGGAGTAGTTCTCAAGTGAGTGTGACCACAGAATCTCTCCTTTTCCTTAATTCCTATTCTCATTTCTGCCTAACTGGCGATCTCGTGCTGATGTAAATGAGAGTGTAACGAAAATCAAGGACGAAAATCCACTTTCTAACTAATTGCATTAACATGGTTGTATTTGAAAAGACTAGTGTTTATTAATTCTGGAAATAGCTTTTCCCCATTTACACTGCTATTGACAGCTGATAGTCAAGTCATCAATTGATGAAAGATAGCTTTTTCTCTAAATGTAAGTTTACATATATGGGAGGTCCTTCAGATCGAGGCAATGTTAGTGGGATTTTAAGCTTAGACTTTTGGCCAGAAAGAGAGTCAAAAGAAATTTATCATTATTTTTTATTGTATCTATTACAAATTGTAGTCATTTACTTTCCCTAGCAAAATTTTGGATTTCATGAGGGAAAAGGCGCGTGTTCTTTACGATTTACTTTATTTTCGACTAATTTAACTGCCTCATCGGGAAAAAGAAAGTGACTGGTAATTGTAATATTGAATAAATAAGGAAAAATTTCAACAGACAAGAAGATCGCACTATTGAAAAAGAGGTTCACACAAAAATTATGGCCATTAGCGTATATTGTAGTGCCAATCCGTCAAACGAAGTTTTTACGCGTAAATTAAATTACTACATTTTTAATTATTATCAATACAATTATGAACTTCTTGACCGTCTTCTCGACAAGAAACGGAAACTAAGGTCTCAAATGCAGCTTCAACTCTAACCAATAGCAGTGCTGTTGTAGTACCGACACAGTGATTACTGTGGTTTGCCGCAAAGTCCAGTGCATACAAAACAGCCCATTGGGTTGAGATCTGAGGGGGAGTGGAGTTCAGGGGCTAAAAATACATTGCCACAGGTGCAGTCGTAAGAATTGGTTGACAACCAGTCTTGACATTAACTTGAAGTGTCCCAGTAGGTCCAATCCTGTTGCCACCACACATCTGGTTTATTATTGGCAACCCTCGTTCGTCGTTAGCCAGGGCTCTACAACTACTACGTTGGCCACCAATTTTACATGGGGAGCATATCACACCACCATCAGTGGTGGATGAGGACACACCAAATTGGGCAAATTGAGGCCTCATGACTCAGGAAGTATCTTCTTACTCAATGCAAGGCAAGTAATCTCATATTCTTTGTGGTGTGCTTTTGATCTTGTCAAAATTTCCCCTCATCCCAAGAGAAACGAATTGTTGGTGCTTCAGCAGAATCTTCCAGTTTGCTAAGATGCTTAATCGGCTTTATCGGTCGGCTATTTTGGATGCGAATTTCACTGAGAAGTTGGCCTCTACGACGCTTATTTGTATGAGGACGTTTGATCTCCACTACTTCTAATCTTCAACTATTATTATTATTAGGAAGGAAGTAAAACTTTCACAATTGAAATAATTGCTCAAATTTTGGATTGGTAATCGAATCAGTGATGTATTACTTTGCAATGCCAATTTAAGCTTGTATTTATATATTACGGGAGGGTTGAAATACTCTTCTCTTTTGCTCTTTTACTACCCTTATATATTTTTCTAAGTAATGGCCCAATACTTTCATTCTGCTTTCCATAATATGCCAAATGGTATACGATAAAGCCTTTAATTTGATTGTTCAAGGATCCTTGAATACACCTTCTTTTCCGATGCTGCTACTCCTGCCCACTAAACTTTTTTCATGCTGTTTCCTGAAGTGGTGTGTGATATAATGCTCTTCCTTCATTGTTATTTATCGTTTATTGTATCTTATCTCATAATAGTTCCGTCGAAATCCAAGATTTTCAACTGTTAGTGTTGTTGCACTTCCAAGTGAGGTAAGCACTTATTTTTTTCATCTGAAAATGTGCTGGAATCACTGGGGTATCAGATTTATCTAACCAAACCAGCTAAGAAAGATGTCAGGGATCAATTTATTATATCCTCTATCTCTAATACGAGTGAGTTTCACACATTTGCAGTGGATGAAAATGATTTTTTTCTGTTTTAAGACTGCTGTATTTTGTATTTGTTAGTGGTAAAATCTAACACCCAACAACTCGATTAAAATATTGTTTACGCTCTTGCATTTGCACAGTTTCAAAACAGTCAACACACTATAACAAGACCGCCAAGAACACCTTTCGATGGAGCTTCCAGCTTACCAAACAGACAGATGAGTGTCTTCAGACAGACAATGTTGTTAGATGAAGGAACAACTCCTGACAGACCGCCTAGGTCCATGTTAAATTTCGACATGTTTAATGCCTTTGAAGGTGAAGATGAATGGAGCATTCGTGCTACGTTGAACGGTTTCAACAAAGATAAGAGTAAGTATAGTCCTTGTTAAATGGAAAATGCATTTGCTTAGTCATACAATTTAGTACGTTGGTCATAATAACTCAAAGCATCCTCCATTTATTACATTTAGATAGCATTTATTTTATTTCAAATGGCAGGCGTTAAGATAGGTATCATTAGCCCTTTAGTTGCCTTCGGGCTTCACAGAAAGGAAGATGAACATCCAAGTGGTAAAAAGTCGAGAGGGGGACAGAATAATGATTCGCAGACGTAAAAGAGACAGACAGAAAGACACAAAGGTAGAAAAAAAGTGAGGTGAGTACTGTGAAAGTAGTCGAATATGACATACAGTGGGGTGATGGTAGTTTGAAGTGAGGAGTCAACTGCCGATTAATAGACTTTTTTGCCGTATGAATATACGTTGCCCAGGGTGCACCACGTGGAGGTAAGTCTATTGATACGTTGCCCAGGGTGCACCACGTGGAGGTAAGTCTATCTCACACCCCATGATGAGGACATTACCAACCGTAAATTGTTGTGAACTATCGTTGTGGCAAGATTAATGATTCCGTATGTTGAATTCTCGACGCTTTAGTGAATAAAATTGTTGGAGTGCAAGATTGAACTGAATCAGTTCTGTCTGATATTTTCACTTACTTTGCATTTGTAACTATCTTTGAGCTATATTTCACAATTTCCCTCCCCTTAGGTGGTGATCATCGCTGTCTATAGCTACTTCGGATGCGAACTTCTGGCCTCTCAATTCCTGGAGGTTCCAAAGGTCGAAGGAGAAGCGGTCGTGGATTTCTTTGTTCCAATCTTCAGCATTTTTTACTTCCTTTTCCTCATGGGGTGGCTAAAGGTTAGTCAAATGTAGAATTAACTTTAATTATCGTTCACTTATTGTTTATTTACCTCTCTTCATTTTAATTGCATTTGCTTCTTCATTTTGTCTCTAAGTTCTTTTTGCATGTACACGATAGTTAATTCATTTTAGAGTTGATCAACCAGTTGTTATTAGTGGTTTTAGTATGCTATATCAGATCGTAATTAAAATAACTCAGTATTCGAGTTTCTTAAACTTGATTTTTTATCAAATTGAATCATATTTACCAGTTTTTAATGTTACCAGTCCCTTATAAATCCCAAAGTTCACTCAGTTTAACAACCATTAAAATACAGTAAATATGTAAACTTCCAATTCTTCAACAAACTGGTTCACTGTATAATGGTGATATTATTTCCAAACTTACTAATAATGATACAAATCCTCCTATATCAAATTTACAATTAGGTAAATGCATTATCCACATAACATTCTCAAGTAAATGGTGTTAATCTTTAAAATATTGCTAAATCGAGATAAACAAAGCACTTGAAAGGAATAGAGATCGTGTTTGAAACACTATGCCAAGTTACATTAACGTGGGTAAATAGACTGAAAGGGGTGATAAATCAAACTAAGAAAAGAGTATCGCAAAGAAAGGTTTCCATGTGACCCCAAATCGGCTTTCAGGTTATCACAGGACTCATTCCCAATAGAACGCTGAATGACAGACTGAGGTGAATCACACTCTTTGTAAGTGAGATAATATGCATCATTGTTTCCCATCTTAGGTTGCCTTGTGTGTAATGAATCCATTTGGTGACGATGATGAAGACTTTGAAACCTCCGACATCTTAGACTACAACTTGGATGTGAGCTATCGAACAGTTCTTATGGATGAATCCACATATCCAGAGCAACTGAAAGCACCCACATTCGAAATTAAAACAATGAAAGGTGCAGAAAATGACAATCTCCGCGATTTCGTTAAAAGTACTCATAAAGAAATGGACAAAATCGACACTAACCAAGATGACAATGGGTATGCTTCATAAAAAAGACCTTCTTTTGGCAAAGATTACAGAAATAGACGTCAAATTTTCTTCTAACAACTTTAGGCTGGTGAATCTGGAAATAAAGCACAGTTGCTGCAAGTGTTTCCCTAAACGAACACATAAGAAGGAAGAAGAAAGCAAGTTCTTTAGCATGAAAAATAATTTGGGCAAATTTCATTTGTTAAAAGAGATTTTGTTTTATTTTAGAGGTCGAGTCTTCTCCGCTAAAGTTGATTTTAAACCATAAACAGAAAAAGGAGCATCCTGAACCAGTGGATGTGTGATGACGCCAAAGCAAAATTGAAAATGATCATATAAATTTACTATTCCTTTGTCGTCGAACAAGCAAAATGGAATTTTGAATGCCTTTGTTCTTAACATCATAAAATGTAGTGCGGTGTGATTTTTTTTCAGATTTGATTAGAAGGGGATGTATGTGCCGGCATTTATTATCTAAAGAGAATTTTCACTTGACTAATATTTCATTGCATGCAATTGTGAATTAATTAAATTTATCGTATATTTATAATATAATATTTATGCATTCGATTTGCAGGTTTTCATCACTCAAATTTCAAATTACGAACTAGTAAAATCAATAAAATGCAACTTGAGTGAAATTTAGAACATTCTACTCTGTTAAAGCATGTGAACTAGACATATTCTGTCGATCAAGAAGTTGGTAGGGTGAATGACATAAATGATTATTCATCTGAGTCTATAGTTCATCAGCCTCATAAACACAAAACGGCAGAATCTGAAATTTGGCAAACGGAGTTTCCGTAATCAGGAAAATGGTGAATGATCACTAAGGGAAGTATTGGCGGTCTCTTGAATCCAAAATTCAAATTTCGTAAGAAAGTTTGCTGCCAAAACTGCATTCCAGCCCCTTTCCCACATTGGATTTTTTCGAAATATATGCGCGTTCCAAATGATATTCACTTGTAAACGCATTCGGAAAGTAATCAATTATAGTTAAACATTCCTTTCCCATTTCTGTGTAATAATTACCACAAAAACGATAATTAGAAAGATTTTTTAAAGTCACCCCACTTTTCAAATGAAAGAAACAGATTTTTTGTTGTTTTTTCCTGATTTTAGGGTAATAACCAAGCAATTGGAGAAAAACTGCATCACCAATTTGATTGAATTGATTGTGCTGTTTTGGCTCTGTCTTTTAGTTGCTTATAGTCAATGAAAGTTTTATTTTGCCGCTTGCAATGCGTAAACACATTCACGTAAATTAATTGAAATAGATTATCGCAGATTAAATTTCAGATTATTTAAATATCGCTTAAATAATATGGTTCAGATTAGTTTTGATCAAAATTTATATTCCAATCTGAGTCTGAGTGTTCCATCACATTATTTTCAATCTGTTAAGCGCGTCTTAAGTACCACTCACTATGACAACTGATCTTACTAATTTTGGAACTCGAAGCCATTCAAATCTATGGGGGTTCGAATGAGTTCTAGAGAGTAAGAATTGTTGTGTTGTTTGCTTTCGAGCGCGTATGACACTCAGGCATTGTTGAAGTTCAAGTTGCATTCATGATCCTTTATCACATAGTTTCAATTTATTAAATATATTGATTTGAAATTATTTTCGCTTCCATTAATCGTCATTCAACTTGATTGTTGCATCTTGAAAATAAATAGGCGAAGAAGGTGTAGCACTTTAAATTAAGGACTTGAACAAATGGTAAAAAATTCATATTCATTAATGTAGTTGCGAATCGGATCTTGTGCTGACCAGACACTTTTCATCTGAAATTTTAAGTTTATACTAGCGAATATGTATCTCGAGTTCGAACCCAGCAAATCTCCATCAATCTTCAAAATAACTGCTGAGTTCAAGAATAAAGCAGCTGTGAACAGCATTTTGTTGATAGCGCCCTGCCTGATAAAAAAATGGATCGGATGAGGAGGCCTCATAAAGGCAGGTATTTAAAGATGAACTGGTTGGGTCATGCGACCGCAAATGCTCGATTAATCATTCCAAGCTGTCTCGTTGAGTGTGACAGTATTGAGATTCTCGAACTTGGTGCAGCTCGTGTTATTTGGCGGCATGTGATAGGTGATTTAAGATAACTCAGGTGTCGAAGTGGATATTAAAAATGAAATGACTCACTTGAGGAAATGGGAATTAAAATGCCGAGAAAATATTTCGAAATCTAAATGACAATACGAATTGGAGGAAATCTAATAACTTAAGTCAACAAAATAGAATGGATTCGAATCTTAGGAGTTCTGTAGAATTCTATCTCGCGCCTTAAAATCTGGAATTTTTCTACACCAGTGCAGATCAACTTTCATAATCCTGTGTTCCAGCTACTTATCCTCAGATTAGTTAGTAGATACGTATTCACAAATTGAAATTTATTTTCTAATAGCCAAAACGTTAGCAGGTAGCTAAGAAAATTAAAATTTCAACAAAGCTGAGCTCAAACATGCTTTCATTAAATACGTACCTTGCTTGTAAAGACGTTGAATGATGTACTCAACTCAAATATTCCCACATATTGTGTCTATGATGACGTCGCACAAAACGTTACGCTTTTAACTAATGGAAGATAAATTATTAGTATTATTCGTCCTCTTTTGTCGGGGCTTCGAATATCTTTTCTTCACATTAAATTAAGAAAATAGGCACAATTCCCACCTGAAGTTATGGCAATCCCTTGTCTTATCGCTACTTTTCATTTTTTGAATTGATATAACTATGCATTTATTTACAGGGTTTTATTAATTCTTTTTGAATATACATTCTTGAAATGTAATCAAGGGAAAATCCACAAAGAGGCCAAACGATGAACATCACTGCCACGTCAACCTTACGTCATCGTCAAGTAGTCCGTTATCCGAACAGTGACATTTTGTCCCATTAAATACGAAGGATTTGCATAACCTCACACATGGCCCAATGTAGAAGTAGAAATGGTTTCCGAAATGTCATAATAATAGACATTTCCAGCAATACTGTTGTCTAATCCCTTTACCCACCTCCCCCCCCCCACTCCATCTTCCTGTTATGATTCGAGTAAATTGGGATTTAAAGAAAATTTTCGCAACGAAATGCGTTTTTGACAGAGACGTTTAGCTTTTACAGTTGCAGTTGGTTAAAACAATTAATTGGAAATATGGTTATTTTGAAGCATAATTGTGAGAAACGCAAACTAATAGTTTATTTGCAGGAATGAAGTTTATTGGTCTTTTGTTCGGGGTGAGCGATAGATTTACCCCCACATGTCGCACCCTGGACAACGTATACTCATACCTCAAAAAGCCTATAAACCTTTTCGTTATCCCGAGTCTTATTTGGCTATATGGGATGCGCGATAGACTCACCTCCACGTGGTGCACCCTGGGCAACGTATACTCATACGGCAAAAAGTGTATTAACTGGCAGTTGACTCCTCACTTCAAACTACCAGGACCCGTTTGTATGTCATATTCCACCACTTTCACAGTACTCATCTAACCTTTTTCTCTACTTTTGTACCTGTCTCTCTTAAATTTGTGAATCACTCTTTTGTTCCTCCCCCCCCCCTCTGCGAAGCCCGAGGTCAACTAAAGAGCAAATGATAATTTTTATATAGCCTGCCATGGGATATAAATAAATAATTAAAAGTTTATTGATAAGTTATGCTCTCTTTTAATATTGAAAGCCTGGCGATAGAATTGCTTTAGTTCCAGATACATCGTCTAACCAGATTCTTTATCTTCCTATCGTAAAACCGTTTCTGACTGGACGGGGTTTTCTTCACCACCATAAGGAATAAGAAAAAGAGGTAAAGTAGAGATCAAGGTGTTGCAAAATTCAAAATTAATGTATATTAAGTAAAAGTGGTTGCGTAACTTTATTTGAGTGTCTAATTAGCAATTACTGAAAAAATCGACACCTTACAAATTGACCATGCCTGACCATCAAAATGGGCACTTGATGAAATGACACGACAAAACTCTCAACTTTGGTTACCGAGGTATTTTGAGTTATTGGGTAAATTTAATCTGAAATGCAATCGCGATACCACGCACTTGAGCTCTGGTGAAGCTTGAAAGGGGTGATCATATTTTCAGATTCAATATGTTGGCCCTCCATCTTAACATTAATCACAGAGTCGATCATATCTCAAGTTATCTGTGATGATACTCCATAATCTCCTTAAATAGAACTTTCCATCTTTTTTTCTGAAAGAATATTTCAATTTTCGCGTTGCAAAATAAGCGAACAGGCATGTCCAAACTAATTAGCTGCTGGGCCTCTTGCTTGAGATGGTGGAACTCTTTTCAATAGTGTGTAAATTACCAACACCAATGTTTAGGGCTGAAGAAAAATGCTGAATATGTTTGATGAAAACATCGAAAGAAATGGAAGGTTTAAGGTTTCACTTTTTAGAGTTTAATCGAATGGGTTTCAACTTCAGAATCAGTATTTTAAATTTAAGTCGGACATAAAGCTCTTCGATTAGAGTGGTGGAAAGGCCCTATCGTGATGTAAGTTCCTTGTTAAACTTGTGACTGAGATGGCACGCCCATCTTGTTTTGCATCTCCTGCGATAGCCCACGGGAAAAGACAATATGGCCTCATTTAGTAGACGGCCACAATGAGTACTCAGTTTGACTGATGGTCCATTCTGCGTCTATTCGTGTACTTAAGTGAAAAATTTGCTCTATTCTCCACGTTTTACCGGTTTTAATAATTAGATTTCACCTGAATAATCGGAACGTCTAAATAGTCTAATACGTTATGAAGTGTAATGGAGATCGATAAAAAGAGTTACTCATTAATACTCTTTTAGAGGTTTTGAGCCATCCCTGTTTCCATGAGTAATAATTTTTCAAACAAAATGTTAATTTACAAAATAGTTGTTTCGTCTCATGATCAAAACTCTCTCTAGGGTGTTTTGGGCTTGTTGATTGATAAACTTATTTATTTATTTATTCATTTCAAGTGATAGTTATCATTAGTCCTTTAGCTGACTTCGGGCTTCATAGAGAGGAGGAGGAACATTAAAGTGACAAAATGTCGGGAGGGGAACAGAGGAGTGATTCACAGATGTAAAAAAGTCAGGCAGGCACAAAGGCAGAGAAAAAGGAGAGGTGAGTACTGTGAAAGTAGTCAAATATGGCATACAGTGGGGTGATGGTAGTTTGAGGTCAGAAATCAACTGCCGGTTAATAGACTTTTTCGCCTTATGAGTATAGGTTGCCCAGGGTGCACCACGTGGAGGTAAGTCTGTCGCACACCCCCCCCCCTTTAAAAAGATTAATTCATTGTTCT